AATTACTTCACTATACATTCCTATTCTGGAGGTCAAGCCATTTCAAAGCCCATAAACTATTCACAAGCAGAGAAAACCAGGAGCTGCTTGGATCCACGCAGTTCCTACTTTACAATAAAGTGCCTGATTTGTATGTGGAAATAGTCCATCTTGAAAGTAATCAAATCTCCAGGTTCAAGTGCCACAACACTGTGTGGTTTTTAAATACACAGCAGTCTCCTTGCTCCTGCAAACCACATCTGCCCATTTGCAAGACATGATGACTAGGTTCACACACTAGTCCTAAACTGTGGTTTGCTCAGCTATGAACTTGAAGTAAGTGACGCAGCAAGTGGTAGCCTCCACTTTGTTGAATATCCTCCCCACAAAAGTATATACATCCTCACTTTACTGATATTTCAGAAACATCTTAAAGCAGTTTTATCTCAACAAGCCTTTGGTCTCACATGACTGGTTGGGGTCTTGAGTTTACTGTTGGTTTCCAAAGTTTTTATGATGATGTTGGGTTTTTTGCTTTTGTTTGGTTTATATCTATTGCTGAACACCATCCAGAGTCCTTTGGGATTGGGGCAAATTATAAAAATATTATTAAACACATAACTAAAGAAACCAATCAAATCATATAATAGGTTAGCATGTGATATGGATCAGGTGTATATAGCATAGGCCTTTGATGATGATTTCTCAGAAGCCTCAACCAAAGGATGGAAGTAGAAATCTTAGCATCTGCACTTAGTGGCTTCCTCTTACCTCCCATGCATAACTGAAGACTCTGACCTACAAAGTCCTAAAAATATATCAAGTCACACATGCAAGAACCATCATGTCCCCAACATTCCATCATTAATTTTAAGGACAATCTAACAATTCTTCCCATCTACATTCAGTTTATAGTCAGGAACAACTGTTGACAGTTGTTAGCAGCTCCATTTACAAATGGAATGAGGTTCTAAAGGGTAACTTTCTATAAACCACTTTTATGAGGCACTTTTCACCTTCTTCATTTCTTGGTTTTCAAACAGTCTGAAGGAGAGGCTATGAACGTTGACTGTCAGATTTTATTTCAGTCAGAAAAGTTTCACAGTATATTGTGTCTGCACACCAATTCCAGAACTCTTCTATCTGGCTTATATGCCATGGAGGCAAGCATATAAGTTACCTTTATTTTATGCTAACCAATGATTTATTTTAACGATGGTTTGTTGAACAAATCATAATCACCTTGGTCACACATCATGCTAAACCATTCTCCAGGTTTGACCAAAACCAAACTATATTATGGCTTAGCACTCAGACATTATGGCTTAACAAAAAAGACCCCAAACTTTTGGGGCCAACAGCCACATTTGGAGCTTTGACAGCCTGTTATGGATACAAACAAAATGGTTTCCAGAATGGCTTGTAGCAAAACATCCATTTATCATAAAGCCAGTTGGTGACACTGCTCCCACCATCTGCTCTTTTACCTCAGCTAATTTCCTTTTCCCAAGGAAATGGTCATATTGTTGAAAAGAATACTGGAATGATTACACACACACACACATCATTTTTATTCTCTAAGAGAATCTCTGGGAGTATGTTCAGTGCCCAGAAGCAATCTTGGAAAGGGCTAGCTTTAAAAAAAAATTAAAATAATTTGAAAAAATACATTCAGACAGGGGGCATAGTGATTTATATGCTCCAATGAGGATGTCTATTGACACACTAGTGCATGTGTCAAGTTAGACATTGAGAATTATTTTGATATATGAGCTTGTCACCTACCCAGAGTCTGTGATGTAAGATGAAAAAGTAACTTCCAAGCCACTGGCTGTCCAAGTTGATATATTATTCTAAGTAGTAAGGGAGTGCCGTTGTATCTGGCTTGGCATGCTGGTCTAGCTTTTCTGGTTTGCAAACTATGGTTTATAGTGTTACAGCAGGGGTAGGCAATATTTGGCTGCCTGGAGGCGTCACTTAACCATAGTTTGGGAGTGGGACGGCTGCAGTGGGGAAAGTGGGTAATACCATGTTATGCATGTGAGCAAAGCCAGGATTTTGTGTGTTCCTCTGAAATTGGACAACAGTTTGTGTATGGTGGTGTATCTTTTTAAATAAATTAAGTTAACCTCTAGAAGAGGTTTACATTACACTTCTCATTTTTCTGCCTCAAACTGGGGTCTATTTTCAGCTATTATGATCATTAAGGAAGTTCTGGGGCCACTAGAAAGAAGTTTGGGGTGGCGCATCAAGGCTTGATATCTCAGGTTCCCCAATCCTGGCTGAGGCTGTTGTCTGAACTAGACTATGATTTATTTAACAAATCAAGACCAGTATAAAACAGGATTTCTTACATTATGTGAAACTACTTCTGGATTGATATTAAGAATTACTGTACACAACCCTATTTGTTAGATTTATATCCTGCCTTCATCCAGAAGTTCAAGGTAGTGTACACCACTCTCTTTCCCACAAACACCCTTTGAGGTAGGTTGGCTTGAGAAAGTAACTGGCCCAAAGTCATCCAGTGAGCTTCCAACCAAAGGAGGGACTGTGAACCTGGATTTCCCCATGCTGGTGCAAAACCTGAACTGTTACACATTCTGACCTTAACCCTAACCGTCTGCCTTCACAGAATCTCGTCATCCTGCCTGAATAATATTAACTGAAAAGATCTGCATACATATATTTTAGAAAATATGTTTTCCTACAAGTATCTAAAAGCTTTATGGGAACACTACAGGAAGGTATGTACTGTACTTTTAAAAGTATGCCTTCTAAATTTCCCTTTGGCATTACAAATCCAAACAGGCAAGAGGAAAGAAAGTTATAATCCTTTCGTTTTCTCCGATAAAAAAAAATTAGGCGAGGCACAAACCCAATTCACCTCATCCTCTCGCAGGCTTTCACCGCGTCAACCCACGTCCGAGGCTGTTCACTCAATGCAGGCGGACTGCCCTCCTCCAAAAGGCTTGAGGTACCGCCCCCTCAATTGCCCACCTCCGATTGGCCACGTCCGCTGCCGGGCAAGTGGGGTGACCCGCGGACTATGGTTTGCAGAGGGGAAGCGAAGCTATGAGCTCTACTGGGATCCGCCCTCGAACCGGGCGGAGATACGCCTCAGCGCGCGGGGAGATCCAGCGCCGCCGTTCTCCTCGAGGTGCAAAGAGCTGATCCGAAGGGGAGGGCGAGGGAGATTGCTGTCGCCTCCTGGGGCCCAGCAAGGCTGCAGCAAACAAGGGGCGACGATGAAGCAAGCGGCTTCTTGGGGATGGGAGTCAGGTCACATATGTGTGCGTCCCGCACATCCACGCCCTTGTGCACATCTTGCTCCCAATACAATCCCGTCCTGTCTTCAGTCCTCCCACTTTTTTTCTTAGCGTCATTTCTCGGCAGGCGCACGGTTTACTCATACCTAGTAGCGTTTTGCAACGGATTTGTTTCTCGCGGTGGGCTTCCACGACGCCGCTTTGCCATCTCTGGCTGCGTCCATGAAGCACGCTTCACCTATTTGCTTATTCCTTTCTGGGTTTGCACAGTGCACTGATCCACAAGTTAGGCAAACGGGCTGGATTCACACAAAATGCTAAAAAACAAGGTTAACACTAAGTTGGCTTGGCACGTGGTGCAAGCGTATCTTTTTTATTCGTAAGCCACCTAGTGTTATATGAACATAGCCTACAGTATGCAGTATCTTTTTTATTCGTAAGCCACCTAGTGTTATATGAACATAGCCTACAGTATGCAGTATCTTTTTTATTCGTAAGCCACCTAGTGTTATATGAACATAGCCTACAGTATGCAGTATCTTTTTTATTCGTAAGCCACCTAGTGTTATATGAACATAGCCTACAGTATGCAGGATTCTGAATTGCCGGCACT